CTGTATTAGACATTTTACGTAGTTAAATTGTTATAAAAAAAAAGATTAAAATATTTTAGTGCTAATGTAAAAGCGTCGAGTAACAATAACTTCGATATACTGTCCTTTTAAACGTTTTCGTTTATCTCTTTCTAAATCTTCTTTTGGATCTATAGAATGGGTATAATAAAGTGGAAGAAAGTAGTATTTACGCCAAAAAATTCCCTTACAAAGAAAAAGTATGTACATGAGGTAATTAATCGAATTTGGTTAATCGCACAAATAAACATGCATGCATATTACATTATATATAGTCAGGTAGTACACATCGAAATTCTAAAAATAATTTTCGTTGCACAGCCACATTAATGATTATCTGATCGATTTCCAATTACATGCATGAGGTAATTAATCGAATTTGGTTAATCGCACAAATAAATCATGCATACATTATTTTTTTGTTGCACAGCCTCATTTAGCACATTTGAAAATTATATGCAATTGGTTAATCAAACTTTATTTATATGATATAAAAAATTGCCAAAGTTGTAGACCGTGACCCAGTGTCATGATTGCCTTATAACATCACATACTTAAAGAAAATTTAAGTTCCAATATCCTTTCTAACCTGAGATGCTACATATTTGATATTGTCCAAACTTAAATTCGAAATAGATGATGCCGTAAATGTTTTTATTCGTTGGATATATACCATCCGTTGATTTTTATCATCATTAATACGAAAAAAAAGGTCATAAACCTTTCAAGCTCTTTCCGTTTTCTTTCGAATTGTAGGTTTGGAAATCTCCTTTGGGAGCTGATCTCTAACTTCATTATTAATCTTTTTCTGGGCTTCGTGTTCTGGCAGATCTTTATACTGGGTAAGACGTTTTTCTAATTCCTCCCCAAAGTAGTAATAACTTCTTATTAGTTCATGACGCGCATTATCATTTTGTTTTTCAGCATTAGAAATTTTTAAGTACAAATCGAAAAAAATCTTACTCTCGCTTCCTCGTATGGATTCTTTTTGGAGTGCTTCCCTTTCCTTAACTTCAGAAATTCGTGGGATATCTGTGATCAATTCCTGGATAAGCCTTTTTAATATGCGAGAATCCTCATCCTTAACCTGTTTCTTAACTTTTTTACTGGATGATTTATCTACAGTGGTAGATTTATTAACGCGTTTGGATGGCAAAGTACTTGTAGTTGATGTTTCAGGTATGCCAGATTCTTTGTTTTGTGAACGATTGTCATCAGATGGGTCTTCTGCAATCGTATCTAGGTGTGATGGATCATTTTCCAATGTGTTGGTTTTTTGTTGAGAATATTTTTCTAATGATCCATCAATACTCATAGCATCTTGGGATGAAAAAGATCGTACTTCTGATACTTCAACGTCCTGCAACTCCAATTCAAAAGATTTAGAACAATCACGAGCAGGACAAATTTCTATACCATTTGTGATACTGTTTTCAAGACAGGTACGATGAAATATATGACCACATGGTAGAGCTGTAAATGGCTTTTTTATTAGACTTAAAAAAATTTCTTCATAACATATTGAGCATGAATCTAGTTCGGGAATTTCGATACCACTTGCAATAGCTTTGGGAGTGCAATTTTGAAGAATATTTAATGCAAGAGTTTTTAGACATGAAATGCTCATAACTGTAATTTTATGATTAATGGTACATTTACGGGAAAAGTGCTTTGTTTTTATAATGTTAGTAGTTCTGTAGGTTAATAAATTAGTAATTTCTGTAGGTTAATAAATTAGTGATTTCGGGGCAATATTTTGGATGTATGAAATTAATTTATGTGTCAGAGACACTAGCTCCGCTATTATCTATGGGCGATCTCGGAATATGAAATCATAGTAATATTAGCGATCAAATAAGGTACAATATTTAACGTACATTAATTGTTTTTCTATGGGTGATCCATTACCTTTGCCGATCATAATATTTGCATAATTTCTCTGATCGAGACAAATGGTTACATAGAACCTTGCTTTATTGTATGAAATAAAAAATACGTATCGCTATTACATAATAATAATGCGAATACACAAAAAAAAAATCTAGTTACTTCTATATGAAATAATCCCCCAATCCAAACGAACCACGTTGCTCTTTCTGTTGTCTTAGCATAAAAATTTTTTCACCATCTACAGATAACTCGTAGCTATATATCCAAGTTATGAGATAACTTTTTTTACCCTTAACGTCTACAGCTGAAATTTCTTTTTTAGTCGTTGCATTTATAAAAACTATGTTTTCTGTAATTACAATTTGATCATCATTCTCATCCACAAGAAAAACCCTCACGATATCTTCATTCAACCCTTCGATCTTTACCCGGATATTCTTATGATAAGTATTAAAGTCTTTTATTTCCCCTCTCATATATGAAAAAACGTTTGTAGACATCGTGAATGCTAAGAAAAACAAGATTATCAATATATATGTGAAGTTGTAACTAAATCCAGCTCGAAAATTTATTCATTCATAATGCATACCTTAGAAAAATTGTGGAAATATAAAAAATGACGCCTTGCAAATCTGGCTTATTTATATTGTTTCATTCGCTTGACCTGCTAGAAGAAAAAATAGATGATTAGTAATTACGTTATCCTGACATTTCTCAGATCTTTGCTCCATAAAGCAATTCTATTAGAATCACAAGCGCCAAGAACTGAATATATTTCGTCATTTATGGAAATTAAACCTTTCAGTCTGACGATCGCTTTTGTAGAATAAAAAATAAGACAAATTTTGGCGATCTCGGAATGGGGAAGATCTCAAGTTCCGTAACATATGAATTTTGATATTATTACTGATAAAGAACAATAAACTCTCCTCATTCATATCTTTTTTGGGTCCCATTTGTATTTTTTTCTTATCGGAAAAGCTATCTACAGTAAGGAAAAGGCTTTATTAACTCCATAATCTATAAATATAGTGAGAAAATAATTTAGCGGTGTCACAGAAATAATCTTGTGGAACAAAGACTCAAATAATTATATGAATCATTATTTTTTTCTTCACGAAAAATAAACCTGGTTCTATCATTATATCGAACAAAAATGAATTGTGATATGTTTATCCC